GGGGCGTGGGGTGGCGGGAGGTGTCGGACGCGGATGCGGCGCCCAACGCGCCGCTGCTGACGGCGCCTCTCCCCGCGCCCCAGGACACGGTGTCCTACGCCATCACCATCGAGGGGAGGCCCTACACCATCCACCTGCAGCAGCAGTGAGTGCGGCCGCGGCAGCTCGCGGGGCTGCCCGATGCCCCGGCACCACCCGGGCAGGCTGCAGGGCTCGTGGGCTTGCACAGCTGCGCTGAGAGGCGCCGTTTTCAGCGTTTCGCTCTCCTTTTGGCGTTTTTCCAGCCTCTTTTTATCTGAGGATTTCCGGATCTACACGTACAACGAGAAGGGATGGTTACACTCCGACCCGCCCGACATGCAGGTAAACGGGGGGTTGCGTTGGGTTTATTTGCGTCCCTGGTGCTCATGGCAGCGCTGATGGATGCGGAGGAGCTGCTGGGGGATGGTGCACTTAGGACGTGCTTAGGACGTGCTTAGGACGCGCTTAGGACGTGCTTAGAACATGCTTAGGACACGCTTAGGACGCACTTAGGACGCGCTTAGGGCTCTGCTCTGTCTCCATGCAGGAAGATTGCTACTACCGCGGGTACGTCGAGGGCTTCCCGGGCTCCATGGTGACTCTCAGCACGTGCTCCGGCCTCAGGTAACGCCGCGGTGCCACCAAGGTGCCACTGCGGCCACCAAGGAGCCGGTGGCATCGCCGAGCCCTCGCTCCGGGCCCACTTCCCTTGGCAGGGGCTTGCTGCAGTTTGACAACATGAGCTACGGCATCGAGCCCCGGGTTCATTCGCCCGCGTTCGAGCACTTGGTTTATCCCATGAGCAACGAGAACACGGCGGGTTCCCGCTTTGCAAACGTCCATCCTGAGAGGGGGAAGGACGAGGTGGCAGCCGAGGACATGATCGTGAGGATGAGAGACCCCCCGGTGAGCGAGGCCTTGGCTTTTGGCCGGTTCCACCGCCTGCGTTTCCTACCAGAAATGTTATTATCGAACCACTTGGCACCGGCTTTATGTTCTAATTGAGGCCTTTCATGACCCTCCCAAAAACCCAATGAGATAGCGACGCTCTGCAGAGTTTTCTGTGTCTCTCAACCCTCTAAAAATTTAGGATAAGTTTTAAATTAGGTTAGTCTGAAAAAGTCCCATAGGTCTTGCTTCGGAATGGAAATATCTTTGCCTAGCAAAGAAGTAAAATTCACTCTATATCACTCGAATATAGCAATAAATAGCAGGAAATGCTGTTTTTTTTTTTTGCAGCCAGTATCATCTGCAACAAAGTCTCCCAGCTACGTGGAAATATATGTAGTTATGGACAAGGCTTTGGTAAGTCACCTATATTTTCTTTGCTTCTTAAAGCATTAAAAAATGGTGCTATCCCCCTGCTTTTGTATGTGATTTTCCCTTGGAAAATGGATTTCTACGGGGGATTTTGGAGGAGAGAATAAAAACAAGTCGCCCACGGTTACACGAGTCGGTTTTGGTGGTTGTTTCAACCTTCCTTCGCTCTTACGAGCACCCCGTTCATTTTAACGTCTCCTGCTGTTGTTTTTCAGTACAACTACATGGGCTCAGACAGGAACGTTGTCACCCAGAGGATTATCCAGGTGTTTGGGTTTGTCAACAGCGTAAGTTTTCCCGTCTGCTTGGTTTTGTAGGAAAACGAGGTAAAATCCGCGTTTCCTTTTCTTCCCTACCCACTTTGCGGTTTCAACAGTCGAAATTCCGCCCTGTGCGGAACACACCTGAGCGGTCGTTGCTTCCGTTGCGTTTCCAGCTGTTTAATCCTCTCAACGTGACGGTCGTGCTGTCGTCCCTGGAATTCTGGATCGACGACAACAAGATTCCCACGACGGGGGAAGCGGATGAAATTCTACAGCAGTTTTTGCAGTGGAAACAGTCGTACCTCGTCCTGCGGCCCTACGACATAGCTTATCTATTGGTGTAAGACAAAAGGTTTCTTATTTTAAAGCTGCTTAAACGGGCATGAGTTGAACAGCAAAAATTGCAAGGAAATTTGCTTTCATTGCAAAAATTGCAATGAAAAATGAATTTGGAAACGCACAGGGAGCTGCAGAATTTGTCTGGTTTTATGGGGTTTATAGCATGTTTAACGTCTTAGCGTTCTATGCTATGACTGGTGGGATAACAAGGTTAAAGCAAAAATAGGCATAAATAATTGTAAATGAGTGATAAATGAGTCATAAATAATTTTAAACGAGTGATTTCAAGGAATTTGCCCTAACCCAGGGTTGGGTGGTGACGCAGCCGGTGCATCCGGCTGTGCTGGGGAAGAGGAATCCGGGGGATGGCCGGGATTGGAGGGAGCGGCTGGTGGAGAGGCTGCTGTTTTAGGTGGAAAAGCTGCTGTTTTAGGTGGAAAAGCTGCTGTTTTAGGCAGAAACGCTGCTGTTTTAGGCGGAAACGCTGCTGTTTCAGGTACAAGGAGCGGCCGGCGTTCGTGGGCGCAGC